CCACCCATTTCCATCCCCACCCACCATCCACCATCACCATCATCCTCATCCATCCATCCATCTTCCATCCATCCATCCATCCATCATCCATCCATCCATCCATCATCCATCCATCCATCCATCCATCATCCATCCATCCATCCATCATCCATCCATCATCCATCCATCCATCATCCATCCATCCATCCATCCATCCATCATCCATCCATCCATCCATCCATCATCCATCCATCATCCATCCATCCATCCATCATCCATCCATCCATCATCCATCCATCATCCATCCATCCATCATCCATCCATCATCCATCCATCATCCATCCATCCATCCATCCATCATCCATCCATCCATCCATCCATCCATCCATCCATCCATCATCCATCCATCATCCATCCATCCATCCATCCATCCATCATCCATCCATCATCCATCCATCCTCCTCTGTTCGCCTTCCTCACCTCAGGAAGGTAGGTAAGTTAGAACTACAGCCTTTAGGCAGAGAACTACAAAAAACCAAAGTTATCCAGATGCAGTGAACATCTGAAGCTCTGTGTTCTAACATCTGGAGGTGAGAACATCAGGCGAGTCGACCTCCTAAATGAAGATGGGTGCTTCAGTCAGACTCACCTGATCAGAAGATCCCTCAGGTTGGCGAACTCACAGTGTGCCACATTTTCAACTGCATGGAAGAAAGAAAACGGATCTCAGTTTCAACAGAGATGCACTAGAAAAGGATTTCTATGATTCTATAACTGACGCTGTCCAGAAGGAGACCAATTTCCTGTGTCCATCTAATGACGAGTCGCCGCACGTATCGTTTCAAGGTCACATGACCGATACAGGAGCTGTTCCCAACCGACTGGAGCACCAAACTGTGTTTAGAAGCACATCTGCCAAATGAAACCTGTGACCTTTTCAGGTTTATCATCAAATTAATCAGGAAATATGGATCAGACTGAAGGCAGAGGGAATCATCACAGATTCGGGTTCAGTCACTCCGTCCCGGAGCGACCAGCCCCAGAACTAAAGGCTGGGTTCGATTCCCCGCTGTGTTTGCCATTCCCCTAAATGGCAAAGACTCGCCATTCGAGGGAATGTGAAAACAAGGAGGGGGGTGTCTACTGCAGGTTCTCAGTTTAACAGATAAAGTGTCAGGAATGATCTAGAATGGTTCTGATAGCTAAATGGAGAACCAGCATCCAGTGAGCAGAGAATTGAGTCATCCACACTGACTGAAGCACATCGACTGAATCGTCTCCATCAAAGGAAAATCCCATTAATTCACATTTATCCACCTAAACTATCAGTTTAAAGCATCCATGTATAAGAAATATGAAAACATTAAGAATATGTTTCAAATGTCCCTTTTTGTTCGTATTTCCTTCTGTTTTCTCATCAGGGGGCGTGAGTTTAGGGCGATGCGCTCAGGGGGGGTCATTCTGGGCACAACAGATAAACCTGGAGGAGAGAATCCAAGCAGGGGCGGATTCAGGAAATGTGGGGCCCTAGGCAAAGACAGGCATGGGGCCCTCTGAACTGAGAAGACAACTCAGACCCATTATAGAGAAACAGACATTTTAATAGAATAGACAAACATTATTTACTAAATCTGACTGCCCTTAATGATGTTTTATATTTTTATATCAAGTCTAGGGAGAAATAACAATTCCAGATATCTTTAATCACATTTTGGAGTCAAAATGCATTCTGAGATATCTCAAATGACGTCATCTGATTTCTTATTTAAAGTGTCTCATCTGGAATTATAATCAAGATTTTCCAGTTAATCTGAATTAGTCTAAACTATTTTTTTAACATCTGAATGATGAAATCTCCTCCTAGCGTGTCACTGAGCCGTCCTAACAGTTGCCTGCAGAGCTTTGCATGGCAGCTAACTGGCTGTTCTAAAAGGCGCTATAAGGCCTGTGGTCCAATCAATGGAGCTTCACTTCCACCCACCTCACAATAGTTTAACTCATTCATTGCCAGCATGTAGCCTAGCTTACTTTAAATTAGCCAATAGAAGCAATACTGATTTTCTGATAAACTGTCTATTTTATAAAATTAATTAATATTTGAAAGGTGAGTAAAATTATTATATTTTATACAGGCTTATTACATTTTCAGACTAATAATAATGTATTTAAATTTGTTAGCAGTTTTCCAGATTTTAAAAATTATTTCAACTGTTTCAATTTAATCAATTGAATATGAATAAAAAAATAATTGACTTGAAAGGACTAAGATATTAATTTGCAAAGTTTTATGAGGTTTTGTTTCAAATTTTAAAAGATTCATTGCCAAAAGATTCTCCAAAGTAAAATCAAAGAAGTGTCCCTAACTCTGTAGTGGCAGTGCTAGCTATGCTAACTCTGTAGGGGCAGTGTTAGCCATGCTAACTCTGTAGGGGCAGTGTTAGCCATGCTAACTATGTAGGGGCAGTGCTAGCCATGCTAACTATGTAGGGGCAGTGCTAGCCATGCTAACTATGTAGGGGCAGTGGTAGCTATGCTAACTATTTGGGGCAGTGATAGCCATGCTAACTGTGTAGGGGCAGTGTTAGCCATGCTAACTCTGTAGTGGCAGTGCTAGCTATGCTAACTCTGTAGGGGCAGTGTTAGCCATGCTAACTCTGTAGGGGCAGTGTTAGCCATGCTAACTATGTAGGGGCAGTGCTAGCCATGCTAACTATGTAGGGGCAGTGCTAGCCATGCTAACTATGTAGGGGCAGTGGTAGCTATGCTAACTCGGTAGGGGCAGTGCTAGCTATGCTAACTATTTGGGGCAGTGATAGCCATGCTAACTGTGTAGGGGCAGTGTTAGCCATGCTAACTCTGTAGGGGCAGTGTTAGCCATGCTAACTATGTAGGGGCAGTGGTAGCTAAGCTAACTCTGTAGGGGCAGTGTTAGCCATGCTAACTCTGTAGGGGCAGTGTTAGCCATGCTAACTATGTAGGGGCAGTGCTAGCCATGCTAACTATGTAGGGGCAGTGCTAGCCATGCTAACTATGTAGGGGCAGTGGTAGCTATGCTAACTCGGTAGGGGCAGTGCTAGCTATGCTAACTGTGTAGGGGCAGTGATAGCCATGCTAACTATTTGGGGCAGTGATAGCCATGCTAACTATGTAGGGGCAGTGATAGCCATGCTAACTCTGTAGAGACAGTGTTAGCCATGCTAACTATGTAGGGGCAGTGCTAGCCATGCTAACTATGTAGGGGCAGTGATAGCCATGCTAACTCTGTAGGGTTAGTGATAGCTAGCTAACTATGTAGGGACAGTGCTAGCCATGCTGTGTAGGGGCACTGCTAGCCATGATAACTGTGTAGGGGCAGTGCTAGCCATGCTAACTATGTAGGGGCAGTGATAGCCATGCTAACTATGTACGGACAGTGCTAGCCATGCTAACTATGTGGGGGCAGTGCTAGCCGTGCTAACTATGTGGGGGCAGTGATAGCCATGCTAACTATGTGGGGGCAGTGATAGTCATGCTAACTCTGTAGGGGCAGTGATAGCCATGCTAACTATGTAAGGGCAGTGATAGCCATGCTAACTATGTAAGGGCAGTGATAGCCATGCTAACTATGTAGGGGCAGTGATAGCCATGCTAACTCTGTAGGGGCAGTGCTAGCCATGCTAACCATGTAGGGTTAGTGATAGCCATGCTAGCTGTGTAGGGGCAGTGATAGCCATGCTAACTATGTAGGGGCAGTGATAGCCACGCTAACTATGTAGGGGCAGTGCTAGCCATGCTAACCATGTAGGGTTAGTGATAGCCATGCTAGCTGTGTAGGGGCAGTGATAGCCATGCTAACTATGTAGGGGCAGTGCTAGCCATGCTAACCATGTAGGGTTAGTGATAGCCATGCTAACTATGTAGGGGCAGTGATAGCCATGCTAACTCTGTAGGGGCAGTGATAGCCATGCTAACTCTGTAGGGGCAGTGATAGCCATGCTAACTCTGTAGGGGCAGTGATAGCCATGCTAACTATGTAGGGGCAGTGATAGCCATGCTAACTCTGTAGGGGCAGTGATAGCCATGCTAACTCTGTAGGGGCAGTGATAGCCATGCTAACTCTGTAGGGGCAGTGATAGCCATGCTAACTCTGTAGGGGCAGTGATAGCCATGCTAACTATGTAGGGGCAGTGATAGCCATGCTAACTCTGTAGGGGCAGTGATAGCCATGCTAACTATGTAGGGGCAGTGATAGCCATGCTAACTCTGTAGGGGCAGTGATAGCCATGCTAACCATGTAGGGGCAGTGCTAGCCATGCTAACTATGTAGGGGCAGTGATAGCCATGCTAACTCTGTAGGGGCAGTGATAGCCATGCTAACTCTGTAGGGGCAGTGATAGCCATGCTAACTATGTAGGGGCAGTGATAGCCATGCTAACTCTGTAGGGGCAGTGATAGCCATGCTAACTATGTAGGGGCAGTGATAGCCATGCTAACTCTGTAGGGGCAGTGATAGCCATGCTAACTATGTAGGGGCAGTGATAGCCATGCTAACTCTGTAGGGGCAGTGATAGCCATGCTAACTATGTAGGGGCAGTGATAGCCATGCTAACTCTGTAGGGGCAGTGATAGCCATGCTAACTATGTAGGGGCAGTGATAGCCATGCTAACTCTGTAGGGGCAGTGATAGCCATGCTAACTATGTAGGGGCAGTGATAGCCATGCTAACTCTGTAGGGTTAGTGATAGCCATGCTAACTATGCAGTTTAGCATGGCTCTTTGATCAGTTCTCCTCTACAGGAACAGAAACCTGAATCGACCTGTGAAAACTTCACAATAAACTGCAAACCGTCTTCCTCATGTGTGAGAAAAGCATAAAACGACTGTTGTTCCTGTTATTTCCATAAACGAGGAAGCCTCTGAGGCTGTAGTTAGTCTGTGCTGCAGCTCCTGAGCATGAGTGGAAACAGAGACAGTCTGTGTTTCCTGATTCTGGATGATGAAACCAATCTGTGGTCAAACTTTATAAATGATCATTGCTTTAAACTTTAGAAACTGGTTGAATTATCAAGTATTTTAAAGTCTAGATGTTTTCAGTCCCAGTCACTGAGTCCAGGTCACGTGACCAAGTGGTTCTAATCTCTTTAGCATGACTGCAGAGGTAAACCAATAAAGAAGGGAAGCAGGCTGATGGCCCTGAGTAGGGGCCCCACAGAGGCCTTCATTTCACTTATTATTATAATGAGTGAGGATGAGGAGCCGTTTAATCACATTTAACGGCTTCAGCGTAGAAAGCTGACCCCTCATGATGTAGAGTTCATTCTTTCGATAGAACTATAAAAGTTGCTGCATTTCTGATCAAGCAGTTTCCTGTTTTCTTCCAGTTTGAGGAGCAGCAGTGGAAAACCACTCCTGACTGATGTTAACAGTTAAACTCCAGATTTAACGCCTGGAGTCAAACTCTGCAAAGACCCAAAACAAGCTTCATGCAGCAGGAGCTGAATGCAAAAGGTAGAGATGAAGCTAGAATCCCACCTTCAATGATTCCCCACTTGGTCTTCCTGCCCAGCACCTTGTTCCCGTTCACCTGGTGCTCCTTGTCGGTTCCCACCACGGCAAAGGGAATGTTTTCCTGGAGACAAAGAGTCAGAGCGTTTCAATGAAACATGTGAAGCTGCTGTTCTCACTGCTTCTCTTAGTTTCTTGGTGTCTGCTGTATCACAGATTAAATAACGGCTCATCGTTACCCTGATTCTGTCGTTGAGGAGCCGCTCCTCTGGATCTTCATCATACTCTCTCTGGGGGTAAACGCGGATTCCATTGGACGCCAAGTCTTGCCTTATCTGCAAACACCAACAGATCAGATTAGATGCTTCGCACTATTGGCTGTCAGGTATTCTCCTGTTCTCCAGGTAGAACATGGTGGGAGTCAGAGAGCGCTGATTAGTGTGGAGCAGCACCGTCCTCCCAGACACCCATAACTGAGAGGAAAAATGTACCTCTGGAGGCGAGGAGGAGGGGAGGGGTGTGTTTTGGTTTTCTGTGAGCATGTTTGGCCGTTTCCTGGAGGACCTGCTTTGGCAATGGATGCCTCCTTCCTGGCTTTGAACCTGACTGCCATCTTCCTTTTCCTGTTGAAAGAACCTAAAACCTGAAGGCTGGTTCAGCTGATCTGGAGTCTTTCTTAACCCACAGGAAGGACGTCCAGAGGACTTTCCTTGCAGTAACTTCTAAGTCCAGCAGAGGTCAGTATAGCTGACATTAAAGCCTTAGCAGTTGTCAGCTGACCAGTCTAAATCTAGCCTGCAGTGTTTTAACGGTGGCCTGCTAGGGTCACGTCTTCCAGGGTTCCAACCCACATTCTGACCGACTTCACCTCTGAAGACACGTGATGACAGACTTTAAACTGAGAGCAGATGTTTAGCAGCTGGACTGGCAGCAGGGATTGAATTAGCTTTAATGGGGAAAACTGAGCAGACATGAACATCAGCGGAGGAGCTGAAGAACAGCTGGTCCAGATGTTTATCCAGAACTACCAGAGCTGTAAACGGTTTTAGGGGAAAACTGAGATAAAAAGATGAGAAAATAAAGGTTGTCCTTGAAAGTCCTGCCCAGCTGCCATCATCCTGTGACTGATGAAATTAGACCTTCAGCAGAACATTGTGGTAACTGGCTGGATGCTGCTGCTTCCTGCTGAGGCACATCTGATATCTAAGATCTTCATCCATTCAGTGATGGCCGCCGGCCGGTGGTTTATCTGAGCTTTGTGTCGTACATCCAACATGGCCTCCTCCTCGGTCCTGTTCTGGTCCAGAGCGTTTCGTCCTGCTGCCTGTCTGACCTCCACGTCTAACGCCGTCGGTGGGTTTGTTGACACCGTGGGGCCGCCTCGCTACCATGATCCCAGACCGAGAAGCAAGCGACCGGCGTAGAACCAGAGACCAGTCCAGGAGAATCGGTTCTGGTGAAAACTTCTGAATATTTTCCATGGCAGCATTCAGGAACGTGGTGGAGCAGATGGAAGCTGCTAACTGGTGCAGTCTACTGGAACGACTGGTTTAAAACTCTACCAACATTTATCCCACTTATGCAAACAGAACATTTGGACAATTCTTTCCCCCAAAATCGTTAAAAGTTGCTCCTATCTGCTCCTGAGACCTGATGCTGCGTCTCGTCTGACTTCCCTGCGTAAAAACGCCCGAGATCAACAGGAAGCAGACAGTCAGAGTTCAGCTCATTTACAGCAGAGGAAGTGAGAGGAGGGGCATAAAGAGGGGGAGGAGCCTCGCTGCCTCACCCGTCCTTCAGACCCAGGGTGTGTGATCTCCTCACCCGCTCTTTAAACTCCTGCCGCTCCTCCACGGTGAGCGTGTCGGCTTTGGCGATGACGGGAACGATGCTGACTATCTTCCCCAGCCTCTTCATGAACTCTACATCAATGGGACGGAGCCTGGAAACAGACGCAGTTTTATTTCCAACATGTAACCGTGAATCAGGAAGAATTAATTAATTAGAATTAGAATAGAATTAATTAATTAATTAATTAATCTCAAATCTTTTCCTACGGATAAACGTTCAGACTGTGTGTTCAGCTCCCAGAGGTCAAATCATTAAACTGTTCTACTGAAGGTCTGCCTGGTTTTCAGGCTGCTTCTCCTGCTGGATGCTGAACCTCCACCCAGCCTCAGATCATCCATCTTCCTGGAACCGCTGCCCTCTTTAAATATTGTTAAATAAATGTAAAATACTTTAAAACAGGAATCTGGGAACAGCATTGAGTGACTTCCAGGTCCAGCGCCCCCTGCAGGCCACTGGCAGCACTGCACTGTCTCTAAACGATCCAGTTTCTGTTTTGGTTGTGATCTCAGAGCAGCAGGTCTAGAATCCTGGACTTCCTGGTAAAGATGAGGAAACAATCTGGATGAAATCCTGCATCAGAGAAGCAGCTAACAGAGCTAACAGCTGTTAGCTTGTGTTTAAGGTACACTGACCAGGGCTGTTTCAATTTACAGGAACGCCAGTACGGACTCGTGTCCTCGCCAAGTCTGTTCTTGAGAAGAACCCAGGAAAGTCTGGACTCGGGGAGAACGGGAGCAGGCAGAATAAATCTGGGTGAACTGGAACAGAAGCGTACTGATGACATCACCACACGCTCTGCTCCTCTGGAGCTGCATTTCACCTCCAGTTATTAATAGGCTCTAGATAAAAATAGATTATGACTTTTTCATTTATGCAGAGAGAGAGCTGCTGCAGACGGGCTAACGTTAGCCCGCTCTGGGTCACATGACTCGTTCAGAGACGGATCGATCCTGTGAGGTCACAGAAGATCATTGGATAGATCAGATAGGTCAAAGGTCATACTATGATACAGCTGAAAAGGCAGGAGGCTGTAGCTCGCCATATTAGCACGCCGTCATGGTGGACAGACGCCAGAACCATGCTGCAACTCTGGAGGCAGTAACCAACCTGCAGATCCAGAGTCTGGTATTTATCATATAATGTTTAATGTATATCATATAATGTTTAATGTATATTATATATTTAATGTATAATATATATTGTTTAATGTATATCATATAATATTTAATGTATAATATATATTGTTTAATGTATATCATATAATTTAATGTATATTATATATTGTTTAATGTATATTATATATTGTTTAATGTATAATATATATTGTTTAATGTATATTATACAATGTTTAATGTATAATATATATTGTTTAATGTATATTATATAATGTTTAATGTATATTATATAATGTTTAATGTATATCATATAATGTTTAATGTATATTATATATTGTTTAATGTATATTATATAATGTTTAATGTATAATATATATTGTTTAATGTATATTATACAATGTTTAATGTATATTATATAATGTTTAATGTATATCATATAATGTTTAATGTATATTATATAATGTTTAATGTATAATATATATTGTTTAATGTATATTATACAATGTTTAATGTATAATATATATTGTTTAATGTATATTATATAATGTTTAATGTATATTATATAATGTTTAATGTATATCATATAATGTTTAATGTATATTATATATTGTTTAATGTATAATATATATTGTTTAATGTATATTATACAATGTTTAATGTATAATATATATTGTTTAATGTATATTATATAATGTTTAATGTATATTATATAATGTTTAATGTATATCATATAATGTTTAATGTATATTATATATTGTTTAATGTATAATATATATTGTTTAATGTATATTATACAATGTTTAATGTATATCATATAATGTTTAATGTATATTATATATTGTTTAATGTATAATATATATTGTTTAATGTATATTATACAATGTTTAATGTATAATATATATTGTTTAATGTATATTATATAATGTTTAATGTATATTATATAATGTTTAATGTATATTATATAATGTTTAATGTATATTATATAATGTTTAATGTATATCATATAATGTTTAATGTATATTATATATTGTTTAATGTATAATATATATTGTTTAATGTATATTATACAATGTTTAATGTATAATATATATTGTTTAATGTATATTATATAATGTTTAATGTATATTATATAATATTTAATGTATATTATATAATGTTTAATGTATATCATATAATGTTTAATGTATATTATATAATGTTTAATGTATATCATATAATGTTTAATGTATATTATATAATGTTTAATGTATATCATATAATGTTTAATGTATATTATATATTGTTTAATGTATATTATATAATGTTTAATGTATAATATATATTGTTTAATGTATATTATATAATGTTTAGTAGCTGTTAAAACATAAACTCCAGTTTCATTTAATTATCATTAGTTAAGTATAACAACCATCGGCTGAACAGCTGCAGCATCACGTCTGTGTTCTTTACGATCAGCGTGACACAGCCCTGTTCTCTGGCCAATCAGCTGTTAGCTTTGTCAGCACAGTTATTAACCCCCGCCTGACTACTTCAAATGATTGTTAATTATTAACAGAGGTCTAAATGTTTGGTATCTTTAAAAATGTGGTTATCATGATGAATGAGTGAGAAAAGGCGGCGGCAGTTTGCAACGAGCCCACAGGAAGTAAAGAAAAGCTGTTCTCTGATGGCCACGAGGAGCGGAGACTGGGTGGAGGTTCACCTTCAGCCAGGAGCCCCCTGAACATCCAGAGATACAGCAGGCGGGTCAGAATGGTCTAGTCAAAGTAAACAGGAGAGCTGAAGCTCCTGAGTTTTAATATCAGCTGCTTGATGTTCAGATGAGCCTAAAACCTGCAGCCGTTTCTAAGGAAGGTTGCTGGTCTGTCTCTGAACCGCAGGCAGGAAGAGGCTGTGAGAGCAGAGGGGAAGGATGAGAGAGGAAACAGGAGGCTCCCCCTCTGTGGGGGTCAGGGTGTGTGTGGGGGGGGTCACCTGTGCCCGGTCGCAGGCAGGAAGTAGATGCAGCAGTGAACTCTGCTGTCAGGGATTCTTCTCTTGCGGTTGATGTTCAGCTCCTCTCGCAGGTATTTCTCATATTGCTGGTTGACATACTTCACTATGGGCTCCCAGCTGGAAAGAGGGGCCCCGGGGCCCCGGACAGTTATTAAGGTTTATGTGTTGCTGACAAAGATCAATATCTTTAATTCATACATTAACAGTATAATGAGGCATTTAAAAATATCGACAGAAACATAAAAGTATAAAAAGAAAAGTTGAAATCTTGACATTTTAAAGGGAGGAAGCTCTTCCAGGTGATCTTAATCCTGATTTTTTCTTTAAATAAAAGCTTCTGCTTTCCTCCGTCATGAAGACATTTCCTCCTCCAGCCTCACAGTTTTACAGCCGACCTCATCTGACCAACAGGAGCAGAAACTGCTCCATTGCTCTTCAACCAGACCTACAGTATTAATCAGGATGATTTGGATCAACATGGGAATCTTCCCTCTAAGTGTTAAGAGTCCAAATATTTCTTAAAAACACCTAAATTATCCAGAAATGTCTAAAAACAATCATCAATCTCCCACGTCTGCAGTCAGAAGCAATCATCACTGCAGACTGATCTCTAAGCTCTGCTGAAACTGATTGAAGATCTGCGTGGATGTGGTTAGATTCTCTTATTTCAGATATTCATTTATGCGATTGACTCACTATAAAAGTTCTCAGCCTGTTTCACCTGCAAGGCCACATGATGCCTGAGTGAGGCTGTTTGTAGACCAGCAGAGCTTCTTCCATAACAAACCAGATTATTTTTCAGGTTTATTCATAACATGTTACTGTTTAACCAAAGTGTCTGTAATTAGTTTTGACTCTGACTGCTTTCCATGATTGTCAGTAAGGAGGAACGAACGCTGCTGGATCAGAACATGAATGATTACGGTGCAATAAGGCCGTATGATGAACTGTTCTCTCTTTGCAAAGATAAAATAGTGCCGACTGAAAATCCATAGATCACTGTTTATTTAACTGGAGCAAATAGTTCATTACTTTTTCCCACTACGGTAGATGCTGTATGTGCATCTGCCCTTAAACAGATGATCGGCCAATGGAACCAATATTTTTTACCTTAAAATTATTTTTTTTCCCCATTTCTTCTCTTTGTTCATTTTGTAAAAACTCATCTTAAATCTTATCCACAAGCTGCAAACTGGAAAAGATGATTCCAGTTCCCCATGTCTGTCCACCTGTGTCCCTCAGGGCTCTGTGCTCGGCTCACTTCCCTTTTCTAACTTAGTTCCTGCTGTGGTTTCCAGACTCACCAGTTCTCATTGTTAATCTGGTCCCCAAATCCAGGAGTATCAATCACTGTCAGCTTCATCTTTACTCCTTTTTCTTCAATCACTAGAAAAAAACAAACGGATTAAATTCTACATCTAAAGATAAAAACAAATGAACTGAACAGCTGGTGTAAAAAAAAAAGGAACGGATCAGTTTCACTATCTAACGCGTTTTTATTGTTTCCTTGGCATGAAAACATAATGAAAATAAATATTATTAAAACTATTAAATGAATGCATGCATCTCAGAGAAACTCAACTCAGACCAATCATTTCTACAGAACAAACACAACATGAACCAGGAACCTCAGATGGACGTTGAATTGATCCAAACTGCAAAGATGAAAATGAAAAAGTGTAATGTACGGCAATCGGACCCAAGATACAGGTGCTGGTCATAAAATTAGAATATCATGAAAAAGTAGATTGATTTCAGTAATTCCATTTAAAAAGTGAAACTTGTATATTATATTCATACATTACATACAAACTCATATATTTCAGATGTTTATTTTGTTTAATTTTGATGATTACAAATGACAACAAATGAAAATCTCAAATTCATCATATCAGAAAATTAGAATATTGTGAAAAGGTTCAAAATTGATGGCCCCTGGTGCCACACTCTAATCAGCTAATTAACTCAAACCACCTGCAAAAGCCTTTAAATGGTCTTTCAGTCTAGTTCTATAGGCTACACAATCATGGGGAAGACTGCTGACTTGACAGTTGTCCAAAAGACGACCATCGACACCTTGCACAAGGAGGGCAAGACACAAAAGGTCATCGCTAAAGAGGCTGGCTGTTCACAGAGCTCAGTGTCCAAGCACATTAATAGAGAGGCGAAGGGAAGGAAAAGATGTGGTCGAAAAAAGTGTACAAGCAAGAGAGATAACCGCACCCTGGAGAGGATTGTGAAACAAAACCCATTCAAAAATGTGGGGGAGATTCACAAAGAGTGGACTGCAGCTGGAGTGAGTGCTTCAAGAACCACCACACACAGACGTATGAAAGACATGGGTTTCTGCTGTCGCATTCCTTGTGTCAAGCCACTCTTGAACCACAGACAGCGTCAGAAGCGTCTTGCCTGGGCTAAAGAGAAACAGGACTGGACTGCTGGTGAGTGGTCCAAAGTCATGTTCTCTGATGAAAGTAAATTTTGCATTTCCTTTGGAAATCAAGGTCCCAGAGTCTGGAGGAAAAGAAGAGAGGCACTTCATCCACGTTGCTTGAAGTCCAGTGTAAAGTTTCCACAGTCAGTGATGGTTTGGGGTGCCATGTCATCTGCTGGTGTTGGTCCATTGTGTTTTCTGAGGTCCAGGGTCAACGCAGCCACATACCAGGAAGTTTTAGAGCACTTCATGCTTCCTGCAGCTGACCAACTTTTTGGAGATGCAGATTTCATTTTCCAACAGGACTTGGCACCTGCACACAGTGCCAAAGCTACCAGTACCTGGTTGAAGGACCATGGTATCCCTGTTCTTAATTGGCCAGCAAACTCTCCTGACCTTAACCCCATAGAAAATCTATGGGGTATTGTGAAGAAGAAGATGCAATACACCAGACCCAACAATTCAGAAGAGCTAAAAGCCACTATTAGAGCAACCTGGGCTATCATAACACCTGAGCAGTGCCACAGACTGATCGACTCCATGCCACGCCGCATTGCTGCAGTAATACAGGCCAAAGGAGGCCCAACTAAATACTGAGTGCTGTACATGCTCATACTTTTCATGTTCATACTTTTCAGTTGGCCAACATTTCTATAAATCCTTTGTTTTTATTGGTCTTCAGTAATATTCTAATTTTCTGATATGATGAATTTGAGATTTTCATTTGTTATCATTTGTAATCATCAAAATTAAACAAAATAAACATCTGAAATATATGAGTTTGTATGTAATGTATGAATATAATATACAAGTTTCACTTTTTAAATGGAATTACTGAAATCAATCTATTTTTTCATGATATTCTAATTTTATGACCAGCACCTGTACAACCAAGACAGGTTGGTGACTTTTACAGGCTTTATTTGAGAAATGAACGGGGGAAGCAAAACGGGAGCCGCTGACTGGGGAGGTCCAGAGCATGAAGAGCCGGTTAGAGGCAGTTAGGGGTTTATACAGGAAGGAGGAACTCTAATTTAATGCTTTTAATGCTCTTAGAAATTATTTTAATGCCATCGATAAGTACCCATTACTCTCATATATACATCTTTATATTTATATATATATATATATATATATATATATATATATATATATATATATAAACAAGGCCAAATCCTTCGTAATCTTTACCATCGACAGGCTGCAGCCTTGTTCCGAACTTCTCGTTTTCCAGCCACTTATGTTAAAATGTGCATTTTCTCATTCTCTAGCTTTTTCTGTTCCGAACATACGGCTTTACGATCAACCAGGAGCAGTTCCACGCAAACACGCAGAACCAGTTAAATCTGATATATCTGACAATTATTATTTTTTTTTATATAAAGCATTTTAAATGCCATGATAATCACATTTAATTAATTTTAATGCATATTAAGGCCTTAATTTAAAAAAAAAATAATGTAATGACTTTTAATGATTTTTAGTAACCCGCAGAAACCCTGCAGTTAACTAAGTAATGAACTGAAGTCCGGGTGCAGACAGGGTTTGCTGGGGCACGGCCCCCTAGGCTGCTGTCAGGTTGACAGAAGTTTCCAGTGGGGCTTTCCAGAGACGTGATCCAGAGGAGTCCAGGTTCAGCTACAGTGTGGCAGATCCAGCAGCAGGACAGATCCAGGAGGGAAGGTCCAGTTCCATTCCAGGTCCGTAAACAGAGTTCAAAATCCAGAGACAGATCCGATCAGGGTTCCAGGCAGGCAGGCAGAGGCAGAACAGGGACAGGCAGGCTCGGTAACAGAAAGCAGATCAGGTTGGGCAACAGGCAGGCAGACAGGTTTGCAAAAGGATGGCTGGAAGGTTCTCACCGGTAGGTTCAAGACAATCTGGCACAGGTAGCTGATCTGAACGAGGCTTAAAAGCAGGTAGAAACAGGTGAAACCAGTTAAGGGCTGATTGCAGGTGAGGTGAATCTGAGCAGGAGTGCAGAATGGACGGATAGGCCAGCCCAGTGCCACAATATTACAACAACATCATATCTCTCCTATCCTGGCTTCTCTTCATTGGCTTCCTGTTAAATCCAGAATAGAATTTAAAATCCTCCTTCTCACATATAAAGCCTTAAATGGCCAAGCTCCATCTTATATCAGAGATCTGATTGTTCCTTATGTTCCTAACAGAGCACTTCGCTCTCAATCTGCAGGTTTACTAGTGGTTCCTAGAATTTCTAAAAGTAGAATGGGAGGCAGATCTTTTAGTTATCAGGCTCCTCTCCTGTGGAACCAACTACCAGTTTTAGTCCGTGAGGCAGACACCCTGTCTACTTTTAAGTCTAGGCTTAAAACTTTCCTTTTTGATAAAGCTTCTAGTTAGAGTGGCTCAGGTTATCCTGAGCTATCTCTATAGTTCTGCTGCTATAGGCTTAGACTGCTGGAGGACATAGGGACCCCTTTTCTCTCTCTGCTTCAGTCTTCTTCCATTTTCCTGTTTTGCATTACTTGCTGTTAACGATCCACTTCATCTCTTTCTTATAGCTTCTAGCTAAACTTATCCTCCAGATTTTAATACTGAACCAGAGTTCTGCTGTTTAGATGAAGATTTCTCCCAGATAAAGGGAGGGTTTCCACTCCACTGTCGCTCTATGCTTGTCCATAAGGATTCAATGCAGTAGCTCAGTTATTTGATGCAATAAGCTAGCCTTCTTTAAATAGAACAAATTTTACAGCTGAAATATTAAACTGAACTGCATTGCATGGGTTTAGGATTCAATCAGACCATCCAGTCTGATTAAAGGTTCAAAGACGAGCAGATAGAGGCAAACTTGCTTGATTTATATTCTCTATAGAAACTTTATCTGGTTTTAGGAGAGGACTTGTTGACTGAAGAGAATTAAATGTTCTCCTAAGAACAACCAATATCAGCAAGCAGGTTGACCTGGACATGAACTGACTTGTCACTCTTTAGGTGATTGTAATTGTTGTTGGTTAAAAGGTTCAGGCTGATTTAAAGTTATAGCTCTACATTATTTGCCACGGTCTCTGTGAGATGACAGGATCTAAGCTGTCTTTACTGAGTCATACATGTAAAAACTATCATTCAGAGCTTTAGCTGATGTTGAGTAAGCAAACAGGACTCCCCTCTAATGGGAACATCTGGAAGCAGAGCGTTCCCATTTCTGCTAACCTGTAATGAAGTTGGCTTTGGTGGTTGGCAACACGTTCGGTTACTGCATTTAGTGCTTTAATCAGACAACAGCGTCCAATTAGAAACAGAAGTGTGTGTGTGTGTGTGTGTGTATGGGGGTGGGGTGGGTGGGGTGGGGGGGGATTGGGGGGGGATATAGGCAGCAGACACACAACAGTAGAAATCTCTGATGCATCACCAGACCCTAACCCTAACCGGAGATTACTCTCTGCACACCAATGATGTCGCTAATTAGGATAAATAATCAGTAACCATAGCGACTGCATGCCTTTGTTTATCAATTAGCTGGACAGTGGTGCCAGCAGGAGGAGGAAATAGGCTTTCTGTATTATTTGAACTTATCTCGTCCTGTGAGAGCTTTGTGTGGACAAATGGTCTGAACAGCGTCTGAACGGTCTACAGACATCTGGACTGAAAAAGGTGTTGGTTCTAAAGTGAATCTTGCTTGATATGTTTTTGTAGAGGAGGATGTCAGATTGAGCCAAGATGGAGGAGAAAAGATTAGTGGAATCAGCCGTTCTCACAATCAGTACCTCCAAGGGGAGCCATACGTTCAGCGAGGAGTTTTAAAATGATAACGATGATGAATTTTATCTATAAAGTGGCATTTAAAACATTCAATGACTCTGAACAACAGAAAAACTTTATCTGCTCAATGTTTTAGAAATGACTGCCTAACAGAAAGGTTTTCAATCTGGCGTCTGTACATTGCACTGAAAGCGTCTAATGACGTCTAACGTCAGTTCTCAGTTTT